TCAGCCATCGCATCGCGAACGTGTCGTAAGACACTCAGTCTGGTAGACAGGAAGTCATGGACTTCTTTACGAACAGTGAGGAGGTTGACTCAGCTAGCCGCTCGGCTATATCCCCCCTACCAAGCCCTTAGCCATGGGATGGCGGCGTCAACAGGGTGCGAGGACGAATGAGCCTATTCGCGTAGAACGGCGTGTAGCCGGTAGACGAGTGCAATGCGTTGTTCAGAGCGAACTCTACAAGTGGCAGTATGGCACTCCAGTACCTAAGCATCTCAGCGCAGACGCTGCGAAGGAGTTCTTTAACGACGCGAATTCCGCGCTCAGTTTGACCATCGGGCTGACGATGGTCCGCTGTTAACATGGCTAATTTGGTGCCTAGCACCCTGAAGATTGTCGTCCAAAACTCCATAGTGATGCGTGGGTCTCTGCCAGAAACAATTGACTCCGGGAGTCCATGTTGTCGAAAGACACGATCCCAAGCAGCGGCGCTCTACCGACACCGTCGATGGTGTCCGGCACCACCGCAAGATGAGCCATCTTGCTCAAACGGACCATAAAGACCACCACGCCCGTGTTGCCCTTCGAGTCCGTCGGCAGGCCAAACACGAAGTCCAAGCTCATGGACTGCCAACACCCGGATGGTACCGGTAAAGTGGCCAGCGACGCCTCAGCTTTCGGAGAGGGTCTCACCTTTTGAAACGGCTCACACGTGCGCACATATGTGCTCGTGCATTTGTACAGCTTGGGCCACCAGTTATATCAACTCACAGAAGGGTCAATGACCGGCCGTGGATGGGCACGCATCAGAGCCGCCTTGCGGGTAGCATCCAGCTGCAGCTTCTGTGCCTCATCGAGGTTATTGGTGATGACACCACGTTCATGGGACTCGCAAGGCGCGAGCAGGGCTTGTCTCACGCCGCTGTAGGTCTTCTCGCGACCGAGATGACTACTGAGTGGGGTGTCGTGGGCCTCATAGAAGATACGGTGCCTAAAATTCAGATCGTGAGGAACCACAATTCGTGGCCCATCCGTCGAGTCGGTGCTATTATACAGCAACCCGTTATTTGGCGAATATTGGTGAAACCGTGCGCGCAATCGTGCCAACAACACCTTGTCCAAGATTTTAAACTCCTGCTCCCGGGAACCCGTAGCAGCGCTACGCACATATCATCACCCGCGTACGCAGCGCGGATCAGATCCGTCACGGACGACGTGACATGAGCAAGCTCATAATCTGGTCTGCGTGACAGCGCATCAGCCGAAGTATTCTGCTTTCTTGGCTTATACTTCACCTCAAAGTTATAATCTGCGAAGCAGGAGAGCTACCTGGCCATCCTTTGCGAGAGATGAGGCGACTAAGGCGCAGTGCGTAGTGACGCATGATCCGTGTAGATCACGAGCGGCTTTGAGTCGAGCAGGTGACATGACAAGTGCATTTTTCATCGCTGTAATTCCTTGTCGTGGACTGGGTAGCTCTTATCCGTAGCCTTAAGATGGCGAGATTTAGCGCGATCACTCGATCCCGCCCCTCAGCGTCTGCTTGCAGCAGCGCAGCAGTCCACAGCCGATAGCAGAATCTGAAGCATCACAGACGGCGCTAAGGGACGATCGAAGTCTAGCAACGCCAGTATTGGTGCATGAAGGAGGCTGCGTCAAAAGCCCCCCGATGCTCGGTGCCCCAACACCATTCGAAATCCTTCTTAAGGAGATTCGACAATGGCCGTGCCTTTTTTGCATAGTTTGCGCAATACATCCGCAAGTAGTTAACGAGGCCAATCCACTTGCGCGATTCCTTTTTGTCCTTTGGAACCGGCCAGTCCACAATGGCCTTGACCTTAGCGGGATCCAATCGAAGGCCACGCTTCCCAATAAAGCACCCTAAAATAGGGAATTCTTCGGCGACAAAGATACATCTATCTTCATTAACATAAAGCCTATTCGTGCGCATGCACTCGATCACTGCTCTCAAATGGACGATGTGATTTTCCTCATTTGTCCTCCCGTGCCCCGCACGACTGTGGGCGAATACGTCTTCAAAGTGTGTCTGTGCATACGCCCGTGGGCCTGAGCAACTGCGTCACAAGACGATTGAATGTTGCTGGTGCATTTGACAGCCCTTGGAGCATTAACATCCACTCCCAGAGCATGCCGCTCGAAGTACTTCACCGCTGTCAGCGGAATATCACTCGTTTTCTGTGCAATTGGTAATACCCATCGACCAAGTCAAGTGCACTGAACTTTGTACATCCGACCATGTTGTTCTGCGTACATCCTTGCTAGAAATCACCGTCTGTGCCGGAATGGTGGGAGCGTTGAGCTTATTGTAAGCTTGAACGATACACCACTTGCCGTTCGGCTTCCGGACACAAAACGTGGGTGTCGAATAGGGAGACTTGCTCTCACGCACCATTTCTGCGTCGTGCATCGCATGAAAAAAAGCGTCAATGACGTCACATTGCTTTTTGGGCAGGGGCTATCGGCGTGTTACGCAGAACTTGGTTCTTGGAACCAGATCGATCTCATGACGCACACCTCGGTCCGGAGGTAGGACCGACGGCGGGTCTGTGGAAACGACGTCTTAAATTCCTTAACCAAAACATAGTACGGATCCAAGGAATTCTACAGGATCTAAGACTCACTTCATGGGTTCGGAATCCTCTTGGTGTCCTCCAGGACAGCTCCATCTCGAAGCGACGACGAGTTCGTCTCCTTTTCCGGTCGTATAATGACCACTTCGGCTGTGTCGCCTGCCTTCAAGGCACCGCCGACATCTTCGAGGGACATCTCATTTAGCTCAAGAAGAGCCTCCACCGCGGGGATAGCAACGAGGGTGACGCCGCCGTCTTCCTCTTCCGTCATACCGTTGACAAGAGTTTATAGCTGTGCGCTATCGGCTACGGTAGATACATCCAGGGTCAGGGTCGATGCTCGGCGTCTTGCAGCTAGCATACGGCGTCGCCTTTGCCTTTCCACAGAGGTTTCAAGTCTTGGTGAGACTAGTGGAAACACGCGCACAGTATCGTCCAGTGTCCCCACTTCCTGCTATACCGGAGCCCTGATGTAATTAACAGTACCCGAACAAGAGCTGCTAGTTCCGCAGTCTTTGTCCAGTGGATAACTTGCCACTCCACGCGCATCTGAAGGGCCATGCCCAAGATGCCTCGGACTTCGTCTGACCATGCCACTCGTGGCACGCAACGACTGCTTTGAAACGTGAGTTGTGCTCGGTGGACTACGTGCCAATCCACGTGCATCACTACGGTTTTGCCCTCGATGCCTCATACCTCGTCCGACCATGCCACTCTGGGCATGCAGCGACTGCTCCGATATTTGAGCAGCACTCAGTGGCTTACGTGGCACTCCACGTTCTGCCTGCGAGCCATGCTCGGGACTCCTGTCCAATACACCTTTGGTGTTCGACAACTCGGATACTCCGATATCCAGCACATTGACCGTCCCAATCCAGTGCCCGCACCAATAGAGCTTCTACTTTCTAGCAGAGGTGGGTTCATGGCTCACCAAAACCCCACCAGGAGACGTGCGTGTAGTGCCTAAGGTGTTCGACCTCCAATCGATCCATGGCTCATGTTGCTCCAACCATTCCATACCAAGGATTAGGTCATACCTTGATATCAAGTCTAAGACTAAGCAGCGTTCCACGCTATCGAAAGAAAGAAAATATCGACACGGAGGACCACAGGGACCTTCGGCACCTTGACACAAGTCCCCGTCGCTAAGCAAACAGTGACGGTGTCACTCATCCGCGCTTTAAGCGCCTCAGCATACAGGTGACTTCCTTCTTTCGTGGAGCGTCGAACATATTGCCCAACGCCCAGGATTCGATCAGGATTTGTCATGTCCTCTCAAAGCCCTTTACGGACGCTACCACGACCTGCGAGCCCGGCTTGCATACATGCCCCGTGTTCAAGAGCACGGAGCTCTTCGGGGCTGGGCCCTGCTGTCCTCTACCTGTTAAACGCTTGAGAGAACTCAGAACGTCCCCAGTAGGGCGCGCGCTTACTGGGTGGTGTCGTTTTCCCGCGACAAACCAGACTGGTGAGAAGCGGGACATCCTTTCGATGAATCTTGCCGCCTTGCGCAGGGGACAACCAGTCCGAAGTTAACAGGTGTCTCCGCAAACAAAACACCACCGGGTGTTTGAACGCTGCCCGGCAGCTCGAAGCTCTTCCCCTCTTTCTCAGCATAGCTGAGATCCATTTAATCGGGTCCAGTCGACGAGCTATGAGGGTGTGCATTCTTACCAAGTCGTACCGTTTCTTCAAAAGAAGACGGATGCACACGGAAGACTTTTATTCTGGCCACGCCAGTGCGGTGGCCCTCTATAAAGACGGTCACTGTAAGCCTTCCCCAGAAAGTATGCATAGACGGCAGCGGGACTGCTGAAGCTTTCGCTTGATTGAAGCTTGGTTAAGGTCGATGACATTCAATACGGATGTAGCGCACTTGCTCCAAGAGTAATTACAGCCTTAACCCAAGGATATTTAACTTTTCTGTTGAAATATAACGTATTTCTCGGTAATATTTGCGGCAAAGCCGCTTATATCTAAATTTATAGGTTTTCCTATCTAAGTAGAAATACCTAATCAAATGTATAACTACTGGCTGTTCCAGTCTCGTACTGACTTCTTGTTCAAGTGTAGCCACACCATTGTAAGGTCAAAACATCTTGTGTAACCCACATCCTTGTGTGATCACACCATCATGTGTGACCCGCACCCTTCCTACCTGGGCATGTGAAATGTAATTAATTAACCGTGCGTTGGTTAACGAGACCAGTTATCCAAGGAGGTTCTTGAATATTCGAGAAAAAGAAGATCACCGAAACCAAGAAGCAGAACACACTCATCGGATAGGAGCAAATGCATGTTAGCCAATAGTATTGCATATTACGTACACGTAGCATTAGAATTGAATGTAAGTTATCTGAACCAGGATTCTAGCGCTAAACAAAGGTCACTCTTAAACTTGCCGCCTAGTGCTTAGGTCACCTTTGGTAGCACTTGTCGGTCGACCAGTGTCGTTGGTTGACCAGACTATTCCAGTTCACGTTCCAAACAAGCGGTGTCCGATCCAAGACTCCCGACTCAAGACTCCAGACCAAGTCTGGATCAGCACACAGGCAAGTCACTTGAGAATGTGCTCAGTACCTGAGGGAAATTGCTTGTAGATCCTTCGCCCCTGAACACCTAGTTGTGTTGGCTGTATTTCAAGCGAGAGAGAGAGAATAACCGAGTTTCCAGTGATCAACGACCATGAGTGCGGAGGGTCTGATGAGATGCATGACGAGCGCGATAGAGCAAATGACGACATGTTGGCTGCAAGCGCTGAGTCAACAGCAAGAGTCGATGGAGAGCGCAATGCAAAGCAGCGAGAAGACATGATGTGGTAGATAGAAGGCATGCAAGACGCGATTATGAGAGCGCATGCGAGGCAAGAAGGTCCATACCACAGTTTTCGGAAAAATCGATGGGAGGAGTGCACACGTTTCTGTTCTAAGTGAAGAATTATTTGCGTGCAAGCTGATCGCCGAGTACGCGAACGAGAAATAACAAAGGATCGTGGCGACGGTCGTGGGCAACTTAAGAGAAGGCGCATTGGCTTGGTACCATGATATGTGTGCGACCGGAAGAGGGGCGAGGAGTCTCGAGGAAATAGGAGCAACATTGTATGCTCAGTTTTTGCCAAGAGGATACCAAAATATTCTGCGAGGGCAGTCGCGATAGTTGGCGAAGGACGCGCAACGGATAAACTTCGAGAAGTACGCTGTGAAGTATCGGACGATCATGGCGCAGATCCAAGAAATGAGCGAGTTTGAGGGACAAGATGTGTGTATTTCGGGTTAGAATCGAAAGATGGTTCAGTTCACAAGTTGCACTAATTTGGAAGAAACCATAGCCGCCGCGAAGGCGTACGAAGATACCTACTTCCCACAGCATGAAGATTGAGAGGGACACAAGCCTTGAGAATGCATTGGATTCCTGTTGGTGCATTGAACGACGATAGCAGTCAAGACATGGAGATTTGGAATGCGATAATCGGAAAGAAGCAGTGCTATGAGCAAAATCTGTGTTTCACATGCAAGAAACCTGGTCACAAATTGCGAGATTATTAACAGAACGCGAGAAGAGATCATGAAAGAGATCATGGAAGAGATCACAGCAAGAACTATGGAAGGAACAGCAGAGGAATGCAGAGCAGAAAAAATGCGGTGAAAGCGCATCACGTGGAAATGAATGAATACAATGGAAAAACCGATTCCTTTCAGCTGAGCAAGGCACAAGCAACCAGCATGTGGATCAACCAGTCAGAAGTGGTGTTGACGAGAATGAGTGCTGACGAGCCGAGTGTGAAAAAGGGTTTGCGTGACGGAAAGCGAGTCAGGATATTGATCGATTCCGGAGCCACTTCAAATGTCATCGTCCAGGACTGAGCTTCAAGATCGAGAAAATGAATGATTTCGGCCATTGCCAAGTGATTTGATGGCAAAGAAACGGAGTCCAAAGTTGTCCAGTTGCTTCGACCAACTCTGGAGATGGATGGCGAGATTTTCGATAGCGAACCGATGCTAGAGTGGGAACACTTAGGGACACACGGTGTCTTGTTGGGAAAACCGTGGTTGGCACGGTACAACCCTGCAATCGACTGGAGAACACACCAAATGACATTCGCAGAGTCACTGGAGTGCCAAGAGGTGGAAGAAAACGAGCTCCGACGGAAGCTGAGACAAAAGGAGTATGCTGAGTTTTTCCATGTTAATGTCCGAATGGGAACGATGCGGAAGAGAGGAGAAAAAAAACACGAAGCGATGCCAGAGATCAAGGTGCTGCTGGAGGAATTCCAGGATGTCTTTCCAGGACATTTGCCAGACAAATTACTGCCAAAGAAAAACGTGGAAATCGAAAGTTAGCTGAAGCCGGGAGCAAAGCCAAGCAATCGACGACCTTAACGACTGTCGCACTTCGAGCGACAGGCACTGCAAAAGTTCGTGGATAGTCTGCTGAAGT